GATCTATTCGAAAAAATCGTATTTATGGTCCGATTTGCTTAAAATTCAGTACTTAGGTAGCTTTTTGCCTGGATAAGCTTATAGATTCCTGTTTTCCAATTTTCATGCAATTTCGAATATAAATAGCTTTAAGTAACGACCATATCAAGGGGCGAATTCGTCACTAGGCAAGATTTTTTGCGCCAATCAGAAACAACGGATACTGTCAAAATATAATTATAATCTAATAAATATTATAAATGTGAAAGTTTGTATGTTTGGATGTTTGGGAAATCATCGCGCGGAAACGACTGCACGGATTAGCATCAAATTTTGTACGCAGATAGCATATGGGCCAGATTGGTTAATAGGCTATTTTTTTTAAGAGTTGCCACCTGTTAAAAAATTTTCATTTATTTAATATGCAGGAACGACTGAATGGATTTGCATGAAAATTTACACACAGATAGCTTATGACCCAGTTTGGAAAATAGGCTACTTTTCTTAAGAGTTGCCACCTGTTAAAAAAGTTTCATTAAATTAATACGCGGAAATGACTGAATGGATTTGCATGAAACTTTGCAAGCAGATAGCTTATGACCTACAGTGGAAAATAGGCTAATTTTTTGGAAGAGTTGCCACCTGTTAAAAAAGTTTAATTAAATTAATACGCGGAAACGACTAAACGGATTTGCATGAAATTTTGCACATAGATAGCTTATGACCTAGGTTAGAAAGTAGGCTACTTTTTTTAAGAGTTGCCACCTGTTAGAAACGTTTAATTTAATTAATACGCGGATATGAGTGAACTGATTTGCATGGAAGTTTTCACATAGATAGCTTATGAGCTAGGGTGAAAAATAGGCTACTGTTTTAAGAGTTACCACCTGCCAAAAAAGTTTAATTCAATTAATACGTGGAAAAGACTTAGCGGATTTGCATCAAATTTTGCAAGCAGATAGCTTATGACCTACAGTGGAAAATAGGCAAATTTTTTGGAAGAGTTTCCACCTGTTAAAAAAGTTTTAATTAAATTAATACGCGGAAACGACTGAACAGATTTGCATGACATTTCGCACAGAGATAGCTTATGACCTAT